CTAGTCGCCGAAACCCTATTCGACTATGGGATGCATTTACCGGAGTGATACGAGCAACTTATATTCCTATTAATCATTTGGTAAGTTTAATATGATGAATGTACTTATGTGAAATCGTTAATTGTTCACTGATAATGAGTTTAAATGAGTAGGAAATTGACTTAGAAGTAGACTGAATTTATTCGAAGTTCCGTTTTTAAAAAAAAGAATTTGGTTTAGTTTCAGATTTAAAACAAACTAAAGCAAAAAACGTTTACAAATAACTAGTGAGACTCTTCCGCTTGAGTTCTGTGTCTTTTTGTTAAACACTTTAAGAAGGAATTTCACGCCCCTTTAGGAATCCATATCCACACATAATTCGACTTTGTAGCTGTAAGGGCGTTATACATTAATATCGTTAAATCCCCAGTCAGTGGTCCAGAGGTTAAGTGTCCGTGCGAGACCGAATGTTCTGGATTCGATTCCCGCATGTAGTGTCGTGGATGCTCACTGCTGAGTCACATACTAGGACACAACGACCGTCCAGTGCTCCCAGTTTTCAACGATCGACTAAATTAGATTGGTTCATGATTTTAATGAAATCTAACAGTCTCTACATTTTTATACTTAAAAAGGCATTGCTACTAATACATTTTGGTATTTAGTTTTTCAGTGTTTGAGTGCATGTTACGGGGTAGTTGACTTCCATTCAAGTTATTAAGTATGAAGTCCCGATAATTTACAGATTATTGATGTAGATAAAATCCTAGATACGTCTAACTACAAACCGAAATTGCTCGACTATTTTCAAACAATACTAAAACTTTTAGTTCGAGTTAAACGTTGTAAAAATCAATTAATCTAAGAATAGTAGTCATTTGTCAATATCAACTATGTGTGAATAGCTTCAATATCGTAGAATTTATTCAAAGTGTTTTACTTCACAAAATAATTACAGCTCTTTACAGTGTATAAAGAGGGAAAAAATAAAACTGATATTTAGTGACTTTTTAATTTATTAGTATTATATCTCTTTCAAATGTTATTTGTCCTTCTTATTCTTGTTATGATCAAGCTTAACGACAGACTATAATATGCAATATGTAACATATGGACTGAGCATATTAGTCTTGACAGTTTCACGACTAACTTGGCTTATTTTTTTAGTACTACACTTCATCTCAATATTTTCTACTCAGTGTTTTGGTTATCTGCTGGTAGTGCTTTAACGCTTTTGATAGCTGAGTAACCGTAACATTTCTCACAGCATTTATATCTAACAATCACTGCTTATAACCATGCGGTTGTTGTAGACTATAGCCATTCCTTTATGGATAGTTTACTGTCGGTCCTTTAAATATTATGAGTTGATAATAATTTCTGAATGATGTCTCTTTACTCTTAACGAGAATTTGTTCATTACGAAGACTTACAGATTTTGTTGAAAAAGAAATAAACACATGTTAACTTTCTACACCTAAATGTTTAAATTTAAACCATTTTCGAATTATTATTTTGTATCTTGCTGATATCAGCATACATCAGTAAACATAAAACTAAATGGGAATAATAGAATAAAGTATTCATGATATTTATTAGTAGTTGCTCTTATCTTAAATCTATAAACAGGAAATTATCTGCCAAGTAAATATACAAACGATAGGTTTTCTTTTCTTTTACATCGATGACACTAAGCTGATATTAACTCTATTCATACATTTTGAGCATTTTACAAAATTTTAAGATTATAAGCTGATTGAAGCTACTTTGATCCAAGCGTTCATTGTTTAATAAAATTGTTACTGTTTATTTTTTTTACTCCGTAGGGTGAAGTTGTTTCCGCTTCCAGTTTATCATTTTCTTCGAATGGTCAACGTTTATACGCTGGATTTCACCGATACATTCAAGTGTTTGATGTTTCTCGTCCAGGAACAGAGTCAGTCAGACGACCAAAACTTGGAAGTAAGGAATAAATAAATTCTAGCCTTGTTTAACAAAATATGCCACTAGTTAATATATATATCGTTAAAAGTTTCTCACTAAATATTTGCAATCATTCTAACTAACCGTGTATTTGTAACTGAGTGCATGAAAGTGAACTGGTTGAGACTCAAATAGCGCTGATAAAAAATAATACTCATAAGGAACATTTATGCAACATCAACATTTTTTCTTAAAAAATTGAGCACCTCATAAATGTAATCCAGAACACTGAAAAAGTCAGCTTCTCTTAATTAAGTAAACACCTTTAAAATGTATTTAAACAGATATCTTATGAATTACCTTCATATAGAGATCGTCATTGTTATTTTTTTCGATGATAATATGTGTAGCGTTTGGTGAGTAGTAAGTAGTTCATATATTGAATGTTACTCTCTTAGTCAGTATTAATTGAAAAATATACCTAACAAATCAAGCGTTTACTGAATATTTGTTACCTTATTTCATTATTAGTTAAATGTTAATCTTTGCTTAAATTGTAAATTACTACAACTTTTTTAAATACTGAATAGAAAAACCACTCCAAGGTGGTATAATATCATGTATTGGTGTTTTGAATGATCCTAGTCGAAATATCTACGCTACAGGTTCGTATAACGGGACTGTATGTATATTTTCTGAACCTGGTAATCTGATAACACGTTTATTTAGTCATCCATCTGGAGTTACCCAAGTGACGTTAACAAAAACATTTGGAGGAAAAAATGGTGCACCATGGTATGTTTTTGTTGGTGGTCGAATGGATTCGCGTATATTTGTTTGGGATGCAAGAAATCTAGTAAATCCAATCACAATACTTCATCGACGCATTGAAAATCATCAGAAATTTCAGTTTGATGTAGAACCGTAAGCCTACTATGTTTTTTTGTTGAGATCCCCATATTCCGTTCTCCTGCTGTTTTTGGTAGAGTAAATGTTATCAAAACTGTTATTCTGGTTAAAATATTTGATCATTCTATGATAATAGATAAATGCTTTATCTTTACCAGTCTAATTTTTAATGCCTACTTATTATCTGTATGTTATTTAGGTAAAAGAATAATGAGCTATCCTTAATATATAAGTACACGTTTGTCAAAATGTTTAATTCAAGTCACTTTAAAAGCCATTCATTCGAAAGAGCGAAAATAGGCTGCAGTGATTACTTATGAAACACTGTCACTAGGACAATTGGATATTTTTGCCACAAAATTAGTTTTTAGTTATTTCGATTCTAGATCATTCTGACAGCTTATAACTTTGTTTTATGTAATATTTGAATTGAAAACATATGATTTTATACATTGAGAGTTTGTTACGAAGTGATGATTGTATCGAGTTAGGTTTGCGATTTTTATCTGTTAATGAATTACTACTGTATCTAAGACACCAATTCCAGTCTAAAATCTGTAGCCGCTTAACTAGTGTTGAATATCAAATTTGAGTGTGAATTTTCTCACGTTTTCAGTTTCAGGTGGTCAAATTACTTGTTTTTAAAGAGGTAACACTCCGCTGTAACAGTTACCAAAACAGGTGTGCTTTCCGTAACTGTCAACGTGAATACACGTATGGATTGGTATCTGTGGTATTTGATAATATTTACTTGGTTATAGAAAAACGAAACGTAGTCAATGTTAAAATAGGGAAAAATATTTTTCTGTTTTGCTACATTAAAGTATTATTAACGTTTTAACCATACTATAAACTGTTTACATTCATGATGTTTCAATAAATGCATTCAAAATCTTCCATCTGCAATTTATTTCCCTTTATTTGTAGCATTGGTCGTTATCTATTTACTGGCAGTCAAACTGGTGTTGTTTGTGTATACGATTTACCTCAATGTATTGATCAATTTTCTGAAAATGGACATACCTATTCTTCTTCGAATTGGCGAGCACATTCTGACAGTACAAATGGTGTCAGTGTACATCCTAGCCTTCCTATTATAGCTACTTCCTCGGGTCAACGTAGAATTAAACAACCAACTTTAAAGAATATATGTAAAAAGCAACGTACAACAGAAACAACATTAGAAGTTCAACAACCTCAATCGAATAAAAATATCTCATCTAATCAATCAGCATTAGACAGCAGTGACAGTGAGAGTAGTATTAGTAGTAGTAGTTGTGATGAGAAAGATTTAAGTGATAGTGAAGCTGTTTTAATGACACCATCAGTTTTAGTTACTGGTAGTAGTACAATATCATCTGGTGAAAATGAAACTAATCCAATAGTTGAAGAATTTCCTTTAGCTTTAAAAGGCAAACTAACATTGTTACCAAGAGAAAATCGTTTAAATCTATGGACATTTCCTTTATTAGTGACTACATAAATTTTTTCTTAATTTCTAATTTCCTTTCTTATAATTCTTATCTTGTATATATAAAAGAAGAAAAAAAGATTTATCTTTTTTATATACTAATGTTATTAATTTATATTAAGCGTCAAGTTTTTAAAGTTGTAAAACAGTGTACATATGTATTACATAGTTTATTTAAACTAAAATGATAATTTCAACTCGACAATTTTCAATTTGCTAATGGACAATCACACATTTTATCCTAATCAATAGCTTCCAGGTTTTCAATGATGGTCTAACATCGATTGATTTATAACCTTAATGAATAATTTAACAATCTCCATAACCTCATACTGATAAAATCGAATAGTTGGCTAAATGAAATCATATTCAAATCGAATTTACGAAGCCAACTATCGAAATATTGATCTTTTATTTAAAAAAAAGTAATTAGACATGAGTGTTATCATGTTAAACATGTCGAAAGTGTATTCATACTGGCATTTTACCAGTTTTTTTTAACTATTAACAAACTCAGAATGGGTTTTGTGGAGAGTTCAAGAAATTTCACAGGTTGAATTCATGAGTCAGTTGAAGCTAGACCACCATTGAAAACCTGGAAACACTGGACGGCCGTTTCGTCCTGGTATGGGACTCCTATCATTTACTGACTCTGAAATATGAAATTATAATCGTTTTTTTTTAAATTTTGACTAAGATAAATAGAGAGAATAGAATTAGGGTTTAGTTATTTTATATTTGATTCAATATACCCTGATTGTCATGTACAACCCAATATATATTTCAAATGGAAGAAAATATCAAATAAAATGATATGGGTTTTTATTTCTGAAAATCGAGTGCATGTACTGAATGTTAATTTCCATCAAAATCATGCAAATTATTTCACATCTTCAAGAAAAAGGGATTTCTAACACATTTCAGTTTTAGAATTAGACTACTTTGATGTTTTACGCAAATATATAATTATATTTATATATAACTAAATCTATCTATATTCGAATGATGAAAATACAAACTCTACCAGCTCATAAAATGTTTTTTTTTAAAAACATAAAAATGACATATCTCTTTGTGCTAATATATGGTCCGACTAATTTTCTTACAATTCAGATTCACCGTATAGACTTGCTGCAAATGAGGTATAATCTAAAGCGCCACCATTTGCGACACCTGGTCCATTGTATGCTTTCATACGATTAATACAATAATCAGCTAGTTCAGGTTCCAATTCACGTTTCAATTGTTCTGTTGTAATGTATGGCTTTATACAAACGAGAGAAAAAAGAGAAAGTTGGAGAAATATTGTGTGTGTGTATGTGTAGTAAAGGGTTATTGAAAGCTTGATAAAAAGGGACTATAACAAATCACTTATATAAATTGTAAGATAATTATTGTAGCTGCTAATTAGATAACATGAGTAATCAACAACATTGAATGAGAATGTCTGACTCTACTTTTCAAATGTTCCGAATTGATTGAGTTATGTTTATATTCTCATAATAAGAGCGACGACAAACAATAAATATGAATTCTCATAAAAAAAGGGTTTATTATTGAATATGTGAAAGTTCAGTACACTTTGTGATTTCCCCTCCTTTTTTAAAATCATACATATTTTCCAACTGCAAATCTTTTAAATTTAATAAAACCTTCATTGGCTAAATAAGTGATGCTTAACAGCGGATTCAATGAATTTCACAGCCTTCAAAATATGAAATGATGTTTTATTTTTCAAATGAAGATTTGTGAAAGAGTTTAATAATTGCTTTAATACTTAGGATTTAATGTCAATAACTTTGATTTAGTTCAGAGTGCAATATGGTAAGTTCTGCAAAGTTATACTTCAGTTTTTCCACAGAAGTAAATTAATCATAATCTAGATATTTGTCTGTCAAATGACTGATGTACATACAAATTTATGAATTTTAGTCGAAGTTAGTAAAGTTCGCTTGTTTCTAGGACCAATATAATCGGTCTAGATAAATTTTAATATAAAATACTATTCGGTACGTATATATTTTTCTACTAGGAAGGTGAAGTTGTCTAAGTTGATATTACAATAATGAAATAGTCAAGAAAAAAACGGCGAACTTACTGTATCACCTGCTAAAGTTCTGAATGAATTAACCATTTGTTCAACTGTATCAGCTCCCATTGTTTGTTGTGACATAAACTGCATGAACGCATCAAATGTCACATAGCCAGTACAATGTGGATCAACAGTTTTCATAATACGCATGAAATCAGCTTCACCCTATGATAAATCAACAATATAAATGCAATTTAATATTCAATTAAATAATAAAAAGAGAAAAGCAATTAAATGTACTTATTTTCCTGTGATAAAATGAGGGAATTTGCCTAGTAAAGGAAGAAAGTAACGATCAGAATATATTCAGATTGTGTTTTTTAAGCAAACTTGCAATATTTATATATTGATTCATTCATTTTTGACAGTCGAAACGAATATCAACTAGATGTACATAGAAAATTTTATGCAATAATATACACTAACAATAACTGTGTCAGAATGTCCTGAATCTTATCAATAGATAAGATAAATAATTCATATTAGTTAGTTAATAAATAACGGAGAATCTGGTTAGGAATAGCATCAGTTCAAATTATTACACATCAAATCGCCACTAGAAGAACAAATTAACAAGATGAAAACTGGACATAAAGAGTAATGTTTTAATAGAAGAACAAATGAAATGTGAAGAGAAGCAAATATAGCACAAATGAATACTTAGCTAATGATTTGTGAGACAGAAATTCTACTTTTGATTCTTAATCATTCTGCTACCTGGTCTGAACAATTTTTAATTCGTTTTTTTTACTGTTACGGATTAAATTAGTTTTGAAAATATAATTTAGTGAATTAAATGAGTCTATTACTAATGGTTTAGCGTTCGCCATAAAAGATGAATACCTGTGACTTGATACCTAAATGGCTTTTAGGTGTGCAATGTTGAGTTGTGTCATGCTATGAGGAAACGGCTGTCCAGTGCTCCTTCGTTTCCGACGGTACCCCAACTGATATCAATCTGTGATGTCTCCTATAGACTGAAATGTTTTAGCTTCGAACGTATGCTCATTGTGTTTCTACTAAACACTTCAGATTTTTTAAAATTGTTGACATAATAGTATTAAAGTTTTTATTGATTTTACCTAAGAAATATATAGCATTGGGATTGAGAAAGTTGAATATCAGAAACACACCTAAGATAGTTTAGCTTAATTTCTTAAACAGATGTATCCATTGTACAAAAAGATAAATGCATGAGAAACCCAGAAATTATGATTTGTTTGGTAAAGTGATACAACACATGTGTAGTAGTATAAGCAGGGTGATTAAAAATAATTTTTTCATTATCTAAATGTATTTTCATATATTATTTTTTACAGTATATTCAATACATATCATAATTCGAAGAAAGCGTTGCATACTATTGCATTGACAGCATTTTGTAGGAAACTTACAGCAGCAGTATTTTTCATATTTCCCAATGGTGAAGTTTATATTTAATAGTGAACAATCAGCAGATTTATATAGATGAGTGATTATACATTCAAAGTAGGTGGAAATAAAGCAGGAGAAAAAGCATACAAGGCAATAAAGGACGACTAACTGATCACTTGTTAATAACTAATATCATGTAGTAAATTATTTAGTGTTAAGAGAATTTTATTGATTTAGTGGTTTAATTGTGTATGTCTATTTAAGTGCTTAAGTTCATAATTTGACTAAAGTAGGAAAATCCTGTGATTTTATCAGAATATCATTTTAGAGGTTACATCTGGTGCTTCTATTAGAGATTCAATGTGATAATGAGCCATCCAACTGAGAATTATATGCTTCAACTTCAGTCATTTTTTCTAGTGCTTAGAGATAATCGAAGTCCATCAAACAAGTTGTAACATGGATTATGTTCTGTACGACTCGACATCGCGTGCAATATCTTGAGATTTTAAGTGATTAGATGGGTTAGCTGGTTCGAATTCACTAGGGGGTATCAGCTACACCAAGATTACAACAAGATTACATCTTAGTGATAGGTGCTAAACAGCTCGGAACTTGGATCTATGGTCCCTGTTGACTACTTATAATCACCTGACACACGCTTAATGTTCGTGATGAACAACTTCCATAGTCATTTAGAGAAGGAAGTTTATACTTGTATTGTTATTTGGAATAGATTAATAAGACTGTAATAGGAAGAGTTATTCTTACACTTATTCTTTCTTTCGATGTTTAAATACGTTATTCTTTCTAAGTTCATAGTTGATTTGATTTTAATCGTTGCTATCTAACTTTTTCACAAATGAATGTCAAAGTTCGAGGAACGTTAAAAAATTGTTTTACTAAAATAATTAAAATCGAAATACCAAGTTGTAGATGTATTTTCTTTTGTAAACGAAAAAAAGTAGTTAACTTACCTGTGAACTATTCGGTATTGTAAAGCCAAGTGATACAAGACAAGCTCTAAAATCTAATGGATCTAATCGACGTGTTCTATGTTTATCGAAATGATTAAAACATCTACGACATTCTTCAATTTGTTGTTCTGTAACACCACGATAATCATTAGCTGTTATACGATTTTCAATTTCATTTTGACTGCGTTTTATATTAGTTTTCAATTGTTCCCATCCAACACGTAAAGTTTCCATTGTATATCGTGTATGAGGATTATGTGTAATTAAAAATTCTTGTTGTTTCTATGATTCGAAAGAAAAATTAATAATAATTAAGCAAAAATAAATTGTTCATAAAATCAATCATGATTGTTCCAGTTAATAATAAGAAAAAAAAAGAGAAACTGATAAACATTTTACAATATTAAGGATTCCCATTATGAAAATGAGAACAACACATATAAGCGAACAATTGTTTTCAATTAGATCGTCATCACATACATTTCTTGTTACGTAATGTTTTTAATGTTTTGTGATGACTATTCCAAGTATATTTACCCACGTTTAACCTTTTATTTCCAACGTTTAACTATTGATAAGACTTTTGTTATCGCATTTTATTATTCTTACTACTATCAATACACCTGTCTTCTTACTATCAACTTGTATTTTTACTTATTATGTGTGGTGACCTATTCTATTACATTGTGATCATTGACCCATATTGCCTTGATTGGTTTAACATTTTCGTATAAATATTCATGTATATTAGAGTAAAGCCTGATGACGATCTAATTGATAAACATTTTTCAGTTTCGTCCATGATGGTCTAGCTTCAATTGACTCATGAATTCAATTATTAGAAACATTTCAATCGGTTAAATTCTTCATCACTGATAATTTGATAAACAATTTTGAAGTAAATGAATAAAAAGTTTGTTTATCACAAAAGAATTGATTGATCTTATTTCTTAAAAAAATTGTCAGTGATAGGGTAATACAAGTTTTGATTAAAAAAAAATGCATATGCATCTTTGAATTGTCAATTAATTATCTGATGTCATGAATGATTGTTTGAAAGTTATGTTTCAGGAGTTTAGATTACAAATAGACTTGTCAGATTATACATTATAATCAAAAGTAGAACATTGATTAAAAACTATGTACTAGTTAGTTGTGACTATTTCATTTACATAATCCTCCCTTCCTAAATAAATAAAATATAATATGAAATGAGAAATGTTTTGACATCCTGTTAGGAAACACCTAATGTTTTTAATCAAATATAATCATATATTGAAGTAGTTAATTTAAGGTGTAACGAAAAAAAAAACAAGGATTTTTATAGTCCATTCAAGATTAAATAGTTACAAAAATGTTTCAATTTTTATCAAGATATCACTTGGTAGGTAATTGGTTGGAAGTTCTACACCAATATAATAATCATTGATGGTGTGTCATTGAAAAATATTGACAATAATCAATTATGCTTTCTAGAAGAATTAAGTATTACAAATTGATTAATACATCGTTTAGACACATTTTTGTAGATTTGACATTAAGGAAATCGAACTTCGGGTATGTGGAATAACATTAATTTTCACGATACTTCGATAACTTTGAAACAAAACGACTTCGAATATTAATAACAATTTATTTATAGTATACAAATACTTTTGATGGAATTATGCACTTGCTACTAAACTATCATAGATTTTTATTAATAAATATAATAACAGTTGAGTCCACTTAAATATTAGAAGTCGACTAATCGTTTGACCATATGGTATAAGTGTAAGTAAATATCGGTGTCCACTTACACCATTACTTCATCACTCTAAAAATTCGGAAAGTACAGGGATCAGTAGTCGAAAATAAGAACATACAACAAATAGATGAGATGAGAAATGAAATTTTATTTTATCAATTTAAACCATACTTGATGAAGGTTTTCTAATTCAGTTATTGTTGATTTCCATCCTTCTAAATCTTCTTCAATTTTATTTAAGCGTTGTGATTGATCTTCTAGTGATAATTTTTGATTTGTTATAATAGAATGTACTGTTTCAAGATTATGTTCTAAATATGGTCCAAAACGATTAGCTAGTTGAGCGAATTGAGTATTGACTTTATCATTTTCTTGTTGTTTAATAAGTTCTTGATGTAATGCATCATCTCTTCCACTAATCAATGAATACATTGCATCCCATCTATTTTGTAATGTCTGTTTAATAAATGTAAATAAACAGGAAAAACAAACATACAGTTAAAATCTAACATAATAACATTAATAAATAAATTTATATTGGGTCTAGCTAGTTGTTATCTTTTATATGAAAATGTATTTTGTATAGATTATTTAGTTTAAGATTTACGAAACAAATTTATATTATATAACGTTAATGTAGTGAGTTTTTCCATAGAGGGAATTTTACGTTTACTATAAATGGCTTCAAATAGTCTCCAAATACTATGACTCAACAATAAATCGATATGTAAATGAATATGATTCCGAGAGTTCATCAGGAAATTAATATCAATACCACAATGAAGATAAATTCTGCTTTAAGAAAAAAAATGACTTGTCAGTGTTCTGTATTTTTCACTATGTTAATGATACAGTTGATCAATCAGGAAACGGTCAAACGTTAAGCGTAGGTTATTGCTCAAGAGTTAGCTTTTCTCGTAGGAACGAGATATACATTACTGGCTGAACATGTGGACTATATATATAAATGAATGAGTGTATGGATATTTCTAAATTCGGTTCAACCAACAAAGTTTCCTTTTCGCTCTCTATCTTCTCGTTCGAATAACCAGTTAGGATTACACCTAGTAAGCTTGTACGTCAGTATCAAAACAGGATATCCCACAATACAACAACTAATTATCATTCGATCAAACGAAATAACCTTATCCATAACCTATTCCAATTACAAATACACAAGAATAAGAGATGCAGAAAGATAATATAATTCAATAGAAAGAGGTAAGGGATGTTAATTTAAATTTTCAGTGTTACAATTTCGTTAAACAATTCATATCCCCCCTTTCTATTATATTACCTAGTTATCTATGCCTTTTTTCCCCTGCTTATCATATTATGAAAATATCTAACAAATAATATGTCAATATTGGATAGAAACAACATTTTTTATATACTAAAGAAAAGAATATCACTAGTTTATATCTAAAACAGTATGAAAGTTATTACTTTTTTGTCTTATTACTATTATTAATACTGAATAAAATTTAGTTTTTTTATTTAAATGTCAAAATCAAGTAAACCATTTTTTTATTTGTTTAATATAAACATTTTTTTAAAGAATGATCATGTATACTACTTATAAAAGAGGGGATTGAATATAAAAACTAAGGAGGAACACTTGTAAAATTTTGTCAGAGAATAAGTGTTTATTTTCAATAAATGTAAACAAATGTTGAATAGATAATGAGTCATTTAAATGTCTGTTATATAGTATAAATGATTTCTAGTTAGTGATTATGTACTTATATGTGTAGAGGGGAGGGGATATAAATTGTCGGAAAAATTTAAAATAATATTCATATACAACAGTTATATTGAGGGATTTGTATAGTATAGAAGGAATTTACAGTAAGATCTGATAGCCATTGGAAAATTAGCAAAAATATAAGAGGCGTTAAACTATTGATTTTATTCACAGATCAACACTATACTTCGGAGAATAATTTGTAACTTTTAAATAAGGCTTGAAAGTTATTGGTTCAGTCATGTCTAAGGTCGTGGGTGTGAATTGTTTAAGAGTTTTAAATAAGATGAAATATTTGTCCAATACTCCTTTGGTTTTTAATTATTTTCCATCTGAATTTAGATATAGTTTTTAGTTTGGTAATAGTAGTCAAGAATATAAGAAAGTTTGGTCGAAAAAGTTTCTGGAAAGAATGATTAATTTAATTTGACATAGTGTAGACTATTTAAGTTAAACAAAATGTGTTATACACTCGCTTAGAATCAATCACCGACACGAATAATAAAAAAATGTCAATTTGAATACAATTTCGAAATTCACAATTGTTCATTTATATATTTCCCAGTCAGCGATATTATTCAAAGCTGAAAACATGGTTCAGATGTGTTCCACGGGAAAGACATATTAGTTAAAGATGAGTAAAGCATCTAATTATGTATACACACTGACTTCTATTGTACAAAAGTGAAATCTTGTTGACTATTCTCAGAAAAGGCTAACGTTACATGCTGGAAATATTAAAGCTGACATAAGTCAGTATTGAAAACATAGTTCAAAGTAAATTTATTTATTTTTTATTACTATTTTTTACGAATTTTATTCTCTAAATTGATGTAATGTGAAAATGTCAAACAGATAAACCATAATGATATGCAATTTCATTCATATGGTCACTAAACATGACTATCGGATATTTTAGATGATCACTTTACTATTAAACTTGGTATATGAAGAGTTATTCATAGAATTAGCGTATAAAGGATTGTTTATGTGCTCTGAATTTGTGTTCAGTTTTTAGTTCCAATTCAAAAAATAAATATGATAATTTTAAGCAAAGCAACAGAATGAATGTATGGAGCTGTTAAATGAACATTAACTACGATTTTATATCAAGATATTTTGGCACATACAAATATTAGCTTATAGCCAAGTACACATAAGTTAGCAATGCTTAATGATTTTCATCTCTATCACTTTTGTTCAGAAACGATTGGAAAATGTAAACGCACTGAAAGGTCAAAAAAGGGAGACCAAACATTGAGTTTTGATAACTTGTTTAAAAGAATATAAATGAAATCGACGTGGAATAGTTTGTTATGCATTTAACTCAAAGGCTAAATATTAAGGACATTTAGTTAAATCAACATAAACCTTTCATACCGATTTTAGTTCTCTCGAGGAAGTGATCATGAAAGAAATAGTTATCGATCACACCATAATTTAATGACGATATTCATCTAAATCAAATGTCATAAAATTTTACATATCCACTGAAATTTTCTTTTATCTATCTACCTTGATTAAAATATAACAAATGATCCAACCAATTCAATAATTTTAACACAATTAGCTTGAAAATGACTAAATAATCAATCATATCCACTTTATGGTCATTATTACATACATCAGAAATGTATTTAAATCTATATCTCAGTGACTTAGTTTTTGATTTGTAGATATGAAATTCAGTTTAATAATCTTCCTCATTGGTGTAGAATTAGTTTATATCTTAAAATATTAGACACTTAGTACAACATGCCAAAAATCATTGTGTATTTTATTAATCTTTTCATAGATGTATCCAAAATACTAGAAAACACACTGAAAGGATATAAATTAATCTAATACTACAAACATTATTTTCAACTCCATTGTTTAAATCGATTTAACGAAATAAACGTTTTCATAAAAGGAGATTCAAAATTTCACTTGTTACCAATCGGATACTACTTGTTAAATCCATGAGAAAAGTAAATTTTAAAATTCCTTAGATAGATCATAAGAAATTAATGAAATAGACGATTATCATAGTGAAAATATTCATTTCCATCATGATGTTATAATTTGGTCAAAAATAAATTCCCAGTAAAAATAAATAACAAACTTACAGAGCAATCAATCATAGTGTATGGATTGTTTAATAATTCTGATGATAAATTATGTGATTTAATTAGTTTTTTCACTTGTTCTACTTCTGTGATTATATCATTTAATTCTTTTTGTGCAGCTGGAAGAGTTTTCTTAAAATTTTCATGTCCATTAATAAGAGACTATTGTAGGAATAGACATATTAAAGTATTGGATAAACAAAAACAAAATTAATGATATTGAGTTATCGCATTTTTATTTTGTAAAATATGTCATGGTAAGAAAACATAATATCATTTAAAAAATATCAATGATTGAGATCTGGAAAACACTGAAGAACGTTACAGTAATACGCATTCACAAACTCTTCAGGGATTAAAGTTAAACTCGAGATGATGGAAAAGATTTGTAGCTCAGGTGAATGATTTCGATGAAGTTTTGCTGTCTGAGCTGGAGAACAAAACTCCATCAAAGTTAAACTCTTGAGGTCTCGTGGGTGAAGTCGGTCTGTCACATAAATTACAAATTGAAAAAACTTCATACATGTTCTACATTATTAAAGAGAGTAGTTTTTATCATAAATATTTTGATAACTATTGACTGTTGCAGAGTAATAAGTAAGTGAATATTGACGATTACAATTCAGTGTCTAAAGGAAACAATATTTTCTTTAAAATGAGATATTCAAATGAACTATTTTGTGCATTGAATATGTGACTTTTTGGTAAATATCCGAAAAATAGTACCTTTTCACGAGAGTTCGCGATAATCATTCTTAACAATTAGACATACATTTTTATGTCTTTCTTTAATTATTAGACTACAATTGTCATGTCATGAAACTAGAACGTTGTATCGATTGATAATTATCAATCATTTCTAACACATAGTTCTAAACTATAAATGATTGATTCCAACTTTTACAAGTAGTGGCAGTCTTCGTAGACGTTGTGTAGTGTGAAGTCGATTCCGTAAAACGCTAAGAGCTTTCACGTATATGAAAATATTATTAGCAAATGGGTGAGTACTTAAATATACAAAATTTAGACACAAGAATTCATGCTAACTTCTAGAAATGATAGACATAGAAGCATTTTAAATAGTCTTATGATATTATCCGTTAAATATTAACCTAAATATCTTGAACAGCTGACTATACGTCTCCCAAGATCGACTGAATTTCAAATTCCGTACAATAGGTTGGACAATAATTTTTTTGTATAGGGACAATTATCCTGTACAAATAGTAAAATGTCACAAGTAAGAAGTTTTTTCTGCTTTAGTGAAAAGTACATCCAATGTAACATTCCATTCATAGTTGCACAGTCTGACAAAAAATAACATTGTTCACCAGCTTAACGATCGAACGAACAAGATACAGTGTTGGCAAAAATTAAATAGAAAACAATTTCATATTTTAAAAATTAACACATCAGTTTTACATTATTAACAAAATTTCAACCATTCTCTATAATTTCTTTAATTATTGATTCGATGTGTAATTCCCACAAAAATTACACCAGTCGACCAATGATTAGTGCGTGGTCATTAATGCTTACGGAATTCTAGTTATCCATTTTTCAATGTGATCTACTAAACTAAATTATTCGACTTTGCTTCATATAGATAAGCATTAAGAATTAGAAAAATATGACATTAGTTATTAATGAGTGAATAATATAAAAAGTTCAGTCTTATTGGAGATCAGTAGAGATTTTAACAGTTTAATAATAACGAGTAGTGTATCTCATGTTCTGCAACAAATTGGCAGTTATTATTATTATTTGTGTGCTATTCTTAACCCTTGTTCCTCAATGTTCTAATGGTACTAAAGTCTCAAGTTAAATGATTTCAGTAGAACTATAGTAAAATCCATAATATATAAAATTTAAGAAATAAAGAACCTTATATTTAACAGTTTTTTAATAGATAAAAATATAAAGCTGGATGTACCTGCATCTCAGAGTTGATGTTCACTCTGGGACTCGAACTCAGTACCGTTCGCTTAAAACGCCATCGCGATTTCCACTTAGCTACTGAGTCCTGATAGCCACTTGCTTGTGCAATGGGGTGAAGTTTAATTCACTTGATATTGTTTTTACTTGAATCTTCCCATTGATGTTTTAGGACTGAAATTGATCAGTCTCTTATTGGCATATGTGCATACTGTGCGTATGCCTCGATATTGCCTTAATTTACAAGCATTATAAGCAAAGATGGATAGTGGCTAGCAGTGGAATGGAGGACTCAGTAGCTAAGTGGATAACGCGATGGCGTTTGAAGCGAACGGTACTGAGTTCGAGTCCCAGAGTGAACATCAACTCTGAGATGCAGGTACATCCAGCTGACGAGTCCCAAACAGGACGAAACGCGCGTCCTGGATTCCACTGCTAGCCACTATCCATCTTTGCTTATAATGCTTGTAAATTAAGGCGATATCGAGGCATACGCACAGTATGCATATATGCCAATAAGAGACTGATCAATTTCAGTCCTAAAACATCAATGGGAAGATTCAAGTAAAAACAATATCAAGTGAGATAAAAATATAAATGTTTTCATTCGTAATTATGAGTAAAAATATCGAGTGACAGAATGCAACTGCATGCTATATAGGTGAAGTAGTGTTCATGTGAATGTTTTTTATTGAAAAACAGAATGAATAAATAGTTTCAAGGGATAACTTTTATATAACAGAAACAAAAAAGAAAGATACAAAACTTGGATAGCTGTCCATTATTCATATAATTCGTAAATTTGTAAAAGGAATCAATAAAAAGTTAAATCTTCCAGTGTTTTTATATAGTTCTTACTGTAAACTTTTTATCGACCTATTAGTTACTATAACATAATGTAATTAGAATAGTCTGGGCAACTGAACCTAAATAGTTGATCAAAATTGCTGAGTTGTTATTAAAATAACATTTTATATTAAAGCATACTTCCGAATTATAAACTTACGGTGTTTATATCATCGTCAAAAAACACAACAAAAACATTCGAAACCGTCTAGTTATAAAAAAAGATAATTAACTGAAAAAAAATGAATATTTGGTTTCCTTCTCTCCTTACCATTACATCTTCAACTTTATTCACAATAAACATATCTTGAAGATCTTCATGCACTTGTTCTAACCAATTATTAAAAGGCTAAATAGAAAAAAGTTAGAAGAGATAAATATAGCAGAAAAAAAATCCAGAAGTTAAATTTCTATCCAATTTTGATTAAAACGTGGAATAAGTATATGGAGTTATGGACAGAAAATACCATTTGAATGTATCAATATACATATGTAAGTGATTGATTTGTTTTTTAGTTTTTGCTTATCCTTGGTTGAGCATAATGGAACAACGAAATGAACAACCCAGATGTTCACTGTCGAGTACTAAGCAGATTTGGCGAATCGGTTGATAAAACGGTGAAACCTAGTCGACTAAGGTGACTGGGAAGTGTATTACTTATTGACGACTAGCACCTAATTAGATGTGAAATATTTTTTTGAGTAGAGGTAAGGCAGAACAAAGTTATGAGTGGTCAAATAATAACGCGGAATCAATCCACAAAATCATTGACTTTTGGTTTGAGTCATATTAGTAGTTGTACACTATCTGGTCGGAATCTAGGTAATAATCGCGATCATTGATAGGGAACTTTGAGTGGAACGATTCAGAATAGTTCGCAGTGACACAGATAAACTTACCATTTACTTTATTCTAAATATTGAGGTCTAGTATTACCCCATATCTACCTTTTTATTCTTTCTTCTCAAACCATGTTTTCAATACTTGACCTTTCTTGTTACCGTTACTATTACAACTATTTCTGCTCCTTTAGTATCTGGACTGTCAGTGTGATTTCTCTGTATTGTAGTCTGGCAATTTAGGCCATTTATGACTCTACGTTATGATGAACTAGTTTGGTAGTTAAAATTTACAAAGTGAACAAACTAACTAAAGCTGTTTAATTCAAATTATAGTGTTTTATAATGGTATAAATCAAATAAATTTAAAAATGACACAACTAGTGTAACAAGTAGATGACGAGTAATAAATCAGTTGTGAGATTTAGAAGAATAAAGAGGTTTTCAGTTGAGATCAGGTAAATACCGGAGTTTAAATGGTAAACGCCAACGGAATTTAAACAATTTTGTAAATGAATAGGACGAATGAAAGAAATTTTATGTAAAATTCCAATTTAGCTATTTTTCATATTAATATAGGGTTATATCGATTGTTGAGTTTTAATTGAGACAATGAACCGATCAATGTTAGACCACCATTGAAAACTTGGAAGCACTGAACGGCTGTTGTGTCCTAGCATAGGACTCCTCATATATTGACAAATCTGTAAAATTGTCATGAAATAATATTTATGGTTGAAATATCTAATTGTGACACTACATCTAACCATTAAAGATTTCAGACTGTTAAAAACTAATTTTATTGAAAATCATTGGAACATTTTATAGAGTACTGGATTGATGTTTCATTTTGTTTTGAAGTTATCAGTCTATAATTTCTCATGATTTCTTTTGCGTATGAAGTTAGCAACGTAGGGATTAATATCAAGCTGATTAACTATCATAATAGAGAAATGCTAAAAACTTTTAAAACACTGTTTTATGCCGTAAATCGGTCTTAGAAAACAAATAAACGTGTACAGAATTCACACTGATGGATTACTAAGTGGTAGTTAATATCATGTTTGTCTGAACCTCAGTGCTGATTGAATTTCAGCAAACAAGTTGCGATGTGGCCAGCACTTTAATTGGTTGAATATTTCCTCCATTATGTTCAAACGTCATGTAACTTGAGGTGATCATTATGAAGTGTTAGACAGCACTGATCAATCACCATGGGCACCTTAGCCCAAAAGCAAGTCATTCGGTCAGTGGTAGGGCCAAATACTGTGAAATTAGATGACGTTGGTTTGAATCCAACAACGAGCATAAATTATCTAATGAATATAGGAACCTCTTGCCGATGAATGTAAAGTAGTATAAAACCTAGGTTTATATTTTCTTACCGATTATCTCTTCAAAGTAGATAATATTCATGTTGTTTGGATCTAGAAAGTTAGATGTTTTTAGATAATGCAATATATGAAACTTAAAATATCCTAGTTGTTTACCATTTTGTCTACAACAGATTCATTTCTTTATTCGATTAAATAATAAATATATCTTAACGCCTAAGTCAATATATACACAGATATTTTTTCAAAGTAAAGATTCAAATTATGTCAATTATTAAAGTTTAATAACGCAAATGGAAAATAACAAATAAATCATTCAAATGAAAAAAATATCTATATCAAACACATGATAGCTAGAAAGATGAATGTAAACGATCAAAGTTGCCAAGTAAACATTTATGATGACATAAAATTAATCTGTACAAATATAGTTAGTTATTTTGTGGGAATACATTTGATTAGAAAATACTAAATAAAGTACAATCAACCTTATATGGGTGAATAGTTAAATTATTTTCTGAAAACTAGAGCAAAATTAACCAGTTTACTATTACCATATAAACTGTCAGCTTAAATAAAATACTCTTTTAATGGAGAGAATATTTATAAAATTCTATCAGAAAGGTTTAAATCAATGATATATGCAGTTTAAGCAAAATCTTCAATATTAAAGTGTTATCATTGTGAAAATAAAATAAAAAAGATATTGAATCATGTTAAGACACATATCATTTATTATTTTTTTTTTGGAGTTCAATGGTTTAATTGCAAAACTGTCATTCACTATCTACGCAAAATCACTAATGTTTAACCTTCACATGAATTAAACTCTCAGAGAACTAAATATTAGTTAAAACACCGGCCTGAACTATAAATATTAATTTAAAGAAAGTTATGTTTCACATCAAAGGACGAGAGGCTTTTGGTTGGTATGACAGCTGATTTCATTTAGTGTCGGTTCAGTACAGTACAATAGTGGTTTATTCAATGAATACAGAAATAGACCCACTGAGGTTTCTGGTGGAACCAATATTTCTAATCAACACCTGAAGTATTAAGGACTGTTTTTAACGATAGCACATTAGAGAAAATAACTCTATTTATCAAGTACATGTCTCAGTGAGGACCATGAAGGGTGAAAGGATAGGAGGCCAATCAACCTCCTGTGTTGATAAAAAATCATCATATATGAGTAGTTGCTTGAGATTTTTAAACCACTTAATCACTGCGTGGCTGATTATTTGAATATATGTATCTAACAAAAAAATGAAAAGCTAAAGTAGCTGAGTAGCATGGCTTGGAAGACATTCAAGGATGTTTAATAGATAGAAACAGAGTTAGAGTAAATGTAACTCCCTAAATCTTTTGAGTGTGTTGAAGATGTCAAGATTGATGTACGCTAAATTTTGTCAAAAACAGTTGTTTTTACCTCAGGTTTCGACGTCATAACTTAGAAAAATACAAGTCTTTAATAACGAAAACACGATAATTAACAGTCATTTAAACGTTTTACTTCAGTATTTAACGATTGTATAACATATAGCTTAAACATTGCTCTCAGTAATGAACATTAAGGTGAAAAAGGAAAAGAAACGTACCGCTATGCGTTTGGCAATTGATAAATGCAAATGATCAATTTGATTAAGCAAATCCAAGATGCCCTAAAAAAAGAACATAAATGGTTAAATATTTCGAGGAAAAACACACAGAATAATTATTCTACAGAAAAAATATATACTAACAAAATTTTAAAAGTAATTAAAAACTATGATAAAAGTAATTTGAACTCTGGATAGATGTCCCAATTCTTTAAAGCCTAGTTCCTTTATAGTCAGTTTGAATAGATTCATGAGCTTATTAATATTGAAAGTAAACTTATACATGTCTAAGACCTAGATATCCCAACTCGTTATGTTGGCTGGGATAATAGTATGTTGAAAAAAAGCTAGGGATATCCAAACAAATATGTGGAATCAGACTATAAAGTTATTTATTGTTAAACTGTCTTTGAAAAATTCAGATTTCTCTATAGGTGCCGGTGTAATAATCGTAATCCATGACGTATTTCATGATTATTTCTAATGATTTAGTTGTATTCATAATTCCTTTCTCCGAAATTCTTATATTAATACTATTTCATATTTTGGAACTATATTTCTTAGGTTTATATTTTCACCGGAATACATATTACTACTTTCTTTTATCTTGTTAATTTCTTAACTAATTTTGACAACTCAGAGCCAAGTAAATTGAACTATCACACATTTGTCCCATGTCTGATTAATTCAGAGAATTAAGTTTGAACTTAAGAATTTGTTGTTATTAATTACTAGAATGTATAAAGTTTTGATTAATTTGTTGAAAACTAATGTAGAGAGTTTGTGGAAAGTGTTGAATTTTATAGCTTACATCACAGACTAAATTTAGTTAAAAAACCATTGAAAACCAGAAAGTACTGGAAAGATGTTTCATCCTAGAAGAGGAATCTTTCGCAGAGTGAAACCACGATTTTATAAAGGATCATTAAGCATTTTATTATGATTGTATCTAACAACCCATTTTATACATAAGTATAAAATGAAATACCGCATATGCAAACACAAAAATTATGTCCTCTTGTTAGTTGGAAAGAGTTAACTTTTCGTGTGTTATATAATTAACGAAATAAATACTTTAAAGTAGGATATAAACCATTTTTTGATAACAAGAAACTTTCAAGAAGTACTCAGAAATTAATAGAATGAGCAGATTATTTATTGAAATAAGCAAAATATTTGATGATGAACTGATTTTGATTAATTTATTATTCGCTGAAAATTTTCTTATCACAAAAAATAGAAAATCGATCACCAAATCTCAAGTCTAATCCTGATACTTCACAGTGACAATAAACTTACAACTACAGTAACAAACAACCAAGCAGGTTTATTTAAAGTAGATTGATCAATACATGTAAATTATCATTGTAATATTTACATATCATTGGTGTACTTTTGAACTGTCCTATAATATACAGTGAATACAACATTATTTTCAATATCAATATAAAAAGGGGAAAAAAAATACAACACAGCGTGATTGGTATTGATTATATTAATAAGAAGAGAGTGGATTCCGTAATTAATTTTTTTTGTTGTTGAAAATTTACATTCAGAAAAAAATCATTATTTCACAGAAAAAGATGATAGAAACAAATATTGAAATAAATTAATTGACATGTATATTACGATCAAAAATGTGAAAAGGAAAAAAAAATACTTATTTTTTGACAGGAATACTTTTTATTCTTATATGTGTGAGGTAAATATGATTTTATTTTTATCTATACTATCTCTTCTTTTAAGAAATATCTAACACTTAGATGAAGTATACTTAAATACATGTGGTTATCTTGAAGTATAAAAATATATATATTTAAGTGTTTGTGTATGTGTAGGTGGATGTGATGTTTTATCGTCTGAACTTCCCAATTGATTAGTAAATATAAGTATGTGTGAAAAAAAGTATCTATCTATGTTTAGATAAGTGAATTCATCAAAAATGTACTAATCAGTATGTTTGCTAAAGTGATATTGAGATTAAAGAAAAAATGTAGTTGGTCAACTTTAATAAGTAAAAAGAAATAACTTATAGCTTTGTCTATCTCTAATGAACAATCTTTAATGAATACATGTAACGGAATTTAATTAAATATTACACATTCATTTTATGTTGCTCTCACAAAAATAGAATGTGTAATATGTACCGCATACATAAATATTAAAAACAATTTAGTAGAGGAATGAAACTTCCCTCCTACGATTTATAATTACGCAATTTGAAGACAACATGAAAAGAGTCATGGTTAAGACTATAAATTTCTGTGAATTGATATTTTTATTAGTTCAGGTAAGCGAACAGAACCATGGTTGATATAGTAATTTAAGCTAAATGATGAAGTGAAATAAGTAAAATTGTTAAATTCCATGTGGATAGTGAAATACGAGTTGAAGAGGTTTATTCACAGGTATTTTAGCCGAAGACTAATTTCTGCTGCTGTTAATAAGACTCATTCTATAATAAGAAGACTCATAAGTCAACTGGATGATAGATATCAGAGGATGGGAAATGTCAATTTTCTAATTTTTCAAAAGCGTGTTTAGCATCATTTCACTAAAACTAAAAAGTAACAAAGCGGATACAAAAAGTAAATAGAGAATTTTCAGAAAGATAACTTTATATTAAGTATTCCAAATAACTGAGCAAATCACACTGGGATGTATTAAATTAATCACATTAGAGAAATTTTAAAATTGTACTTTAATGTTCTTTATCTGGTTGAGTTATATCAATGTTTCTCAATAAAAGATGTCACAAAATCTGTCTGCAACATTTTGACAAGTCGATAAGAAGATGAAAGTAAATCAGTAATAACTCTTCAGAAGCTTTCACAAAACTTCGTAGGTAAACATATAGAGCTATCATCAGCGTGATATAAATTTTGAGGACTCTTTAAAAAAAGCAACTTATATGAATCTCTATCTACAGATTCAAATACCGTTTATCATGGAATAAATATAGCTTATTTGCAATGGTATTATTTCAAAATCCAGAACAAGTTACCATCTGATTGATTAAACAGAATCTGCCTTATCTGGGCTGTATTTATATGCCAGATATACATGAACCCTAATGTTATTGGTGAGGTGGGATGACAGTCTATTTTAAAACGTTTGGTGGAGCTGTCGCTGACTACTGTAGCTTAGTTAGTATCGTAATTTGATCAGTTGATTATCTTAAACCACAATTCTCTAAAAAAGATTAAAAATCAATTAATCAAGATGCAATACTTAACTCTGATTAAATTTGCTCGATCTTTTTAAATGTATTCAGTGATAGAAAATGAGGAAACAGGTTGCAGTAAATTTGGAGCGAGCGATCATCGATGTCATTCCATCAAGTTGGGATTCAACAGATATCCCAAAAAGTATTTTTCAGTTTCTATTTTGTATATGATTGATTGATTGTTGGTATTTATTACAAAGTTAGAATGAAGTATGTTAATAAATGTGGACAAAGTTCAACTTATTGTAAACTACCAGAAGCTGCAGACAAATTGCACTCAGAAACTTAGTAATTTACATTAGAAATAACAGGATATCAGATGCCTGTTCGAATGTCTAGGCCACTTTTTCGTCAATTGTGCGTTCAGTGCCATGAATACTTCGCTTTTAAATTAGTTACCTCTGCCAGCCATTTATATTTTCATACTATGATCAAGTGCTTATAACTTATTGTAATTTTGATTACTCAGAAACTCATAAAGTACCACCAGAGTAGTTCTCATAATTCCTCACTTTTCTGTTCCTTGTAAAAATGAATAGTAATTACCATGGAATTTGTGTATCAAATGTTTTCGGCCACAGGAAAAGATGTCATGCGGACAGGACTGATAGTGAGCACTTGCAGATGAATATAAATGACAACTAAGCGACATTTAAGAGCGCTATACATGATTTTCGTGATTAATTACAAGTTAAATGATTATAAAAAAGAGTTTCGTTGCACATTCTATGCTGGCAATTCTGTACTATAATCAAACATATAATATTGAACAAAGCAAGTATTTTTATCATCGTTGGATTTCTATTTGAACGAATTCCGATAAAAAAAAGTAATCGGTTAAAATATAAGTACCTAACCTGTTAATATGAAGTGAAAATACGAAAATTTTATAAAATTAGACCAATTCTATTTATATATCTCTGAGAAAAACAAATTTTATATCACATAGATTTTAAATCAAACTGTGACACGTAATTACTAGATGAGAGGTTACATATACACCAATCATACAAACTGCTTATTATATATACATTAAGAAAATAGGTTTAATATTGCTAATTTTATTTACCTGAATCTTATGCTTTCGGATTTCTGATAATCGTCCCAAATTATCCCATTGTTCTACAATATTTTGAGTACGTTCATTCACGGACTGAACTTTATCATAATTCAATTGACTTTATATTCGTACATAATGTTAAAAAAGAGAAATAAATTAGAATGGACTTGCTAAGATAATGAAATAAAATATAAGACAAATGTAACTATGATCATATGCTTCAATAAGAAAGAGCTGTTACACGGGATATTAGTAACAGGTTCATAATCTTTAGTGTTATTCTAACATTATATGTTATTGAAATAATTAACAATTTTTATAAGTTTTATTAGTTTTAATTTCCCTTTTTATTGATATCTAATATTGAAAAGGTCTTAAACAGACCATACGAAGGCTATTGGGATGAATTACGATATCAATTAAAAAATATCTTTCAATATTATGCCAATATTAATCAGATATGTAATGAGTGAGATAAATAAAGTTTATTGTGTCAGTGGAACAAATTCACTTGGTCCTAGATAACCAAGAGTGGATTAAGTTCCTCTTTCTACTCAGTGGGACCGAACTATGGAAATGATTAAGATAATGATCACATTAGATTTCACTTCAAGGGCAGTTCAACTGGCCTGCTGCTCCGCCAACATTGGTCAGACTGTCCTGCTCTCCATGGCCGGTGACGACTGATCCATCAAGTGAGACGGAAGTCCGCAAGGAACTCCAACTCTTAAAGCGCTACAAATCACCGGGCCCAGATGACTTACCTCCGGCCCTTTTTAAAGATGATGGTGACTTTATGACTAAGGAACTGACGACGTTGTTTACAAAGGTCTGGGAACTAGAGAGTGTAGCAACGTCATGGAATGAGTCGATAGTTGTCCCTCTCTTCACGTCGTTCCTGTAACAACTATCGGGGGATAATTCTACTTCCGATTGCGTCCAAGCTATTGGCTTCCGTCATACTTCGTAGGTTGTTCAAAACCCGAGAAAGATTGACTCGCGAGGAGCAGACTGGGTTTCGTTCTGGTCGAGGATGTATTGATCATATCTTCACCCTCCGCCAAATGTTAGAACACCATCATACTTTTCAAAGGTCAACAATCGCAGTGTTTCTTGGCATCAGGGTTGCCTTCGATTCGTTGGACAGGACTGTTCTCTGGGATTGTCTATTGAAGAAGGGTGTGCATGAGAAGTTTATTAACATCCTAAAAGCCCTATATAAAAACACCTCAGGCAGAGTGATGGCATACAACCACCTCTATATATTGTTACATTTGAGCAATGGGGTTAGACAGGGTTGCCCAACCTCACCATTCCTCTTCAACTTTGCCACCGATGACATTCTGGAAACAGTTCTGATGGATGTAAGTAATGGTGGTGTGGATCTGTTGCCTGGAGAAAGACTTCTCGACCTTAAGTATGCGGATGATATTGTCTCACTGTGAGTTAATGCTCAAGGCATGCAATCCACACTTAATCAGTTGGCAATCAGTGTCCGTAGGTATGGTATATGCTTTGCAATTTTGAAGTGCAAAGTACTTCTACAAGACTGGCAGAATTCTAATCCTGCACTCACTTTGAATGGTGAACAGATATAAGTAGTCGAGAAGTTCGTGTATCTGGGTAGTTGCATAAGTGCTGGTGGGGGCGTGAGTGATGAGATCAAAGCACCTATAGTGAAAGCCAGAGTGGCTTATGCCAATCTGATCCATCTTTGACGCCTTCATGATGTTAGTCGGGCTGTAAAAGATCGGATCTACAACGCGTCGGTGAGAGCAGTTCTGTTATATGCTTGTGAAACCTGGCATCTCTGAGTTGACGATGTTAGACGACTCTCTGTGTTCGATCATCGCTGTCTCCGAAGGATTGCTGACATCCAGTAGCAACACCATGTCAGTAATGCAGAGGTTCGGCATCGTGTGTTCGGGCACAGAGATGATAATGCAATTAGTGTCACCATCTTGAAACACTGACTTCGGTGGCTTGGACATGTTCTACGAATGTCTTCCCAGAGAATTCCACGTCGTGCATTATTTGCCGACGCTGGGACTGGTTGGAAAAAGTGGAGAGGTGGTCAGCGTATGAAATGGTGTTGGGGTACGAAAGAAAGCTGAAAAGAGCTAGCTTCTGTTGGTCCTTCACGACTCCCTGGCTAGGGTCCGAGAGATGGTGCTACACAGTGGCTAGAGACGTTATCAGATATGGTTCAGGATAGAAGCCAGTGGCGATCCTGCTGTAACCTTCTTTTACTTCCTTCGTAAAAAGTGGTTGTATCTTCCTTAACTGAAAGAATTTTTCTGGTTGTACCTTCCCGTTTTCCCCATTATTACTATTATTATTATTTTCTTTTTCTTTCACGCTTCTTATTTTTTTCCTTGTCTTTAAATTCTCATTGTTTTGTGTGGCGCATATATATTTGGTGCCCTCTTGTTACAATTTTTATGTGTTCAAATAAATAAATAAATAAAAGATTTCACTTCTCTTTTTACAAATGTTCGTCTCACAGAAACTATTTGCTTTTTATGCGACTACATTGAAAACAACAACCTTGATATGTGTATCCCAAAATATTATCTAAAAGAATTACTTCTACGATGTACGCTCAACGTGCAATTTAGATTTAATGATGATTTCTACAGAAAAACAGATGGAGTTGCAATGGGTTCTCCATTGGGTTCTCTCTTAGCAGATTGTTTCATCGCTAATCTAGAAAATTTTGTACTTCCACCAATAATTGAGAGATTTTATTTATATAAGAGATATATGAATGATACTTTCATTATTTGTGAAGAAGTCACGGACTTAATGGAATTTTGAATAGTGTGAATAATTCACAATTCACATTGGAAACAGAGGCAAACAATGATTTCCATTTTCTTGATGTTCGATCGAAGAGAATACCGGATGGTTTTTTACAGAGATCTATTTATAAAAACCTACCTGGAATGAACAGTACAAGAATTTTCATAGTTGAGTCCCACTGACTAGAAAGAGGAACTTAATTCCCTATTTATCCTATAGAATCAAGCGAATCTGTTCCACTGACACAATAAATGAGTAACTATTTCAACTTCGACAGACTTATTAGAAACAGTTATCCACTTGGACTTCATCATGAAAAAGCATCGGCAGTACAGAAGAAAATATTGTTTATGAATATGAAATTAAAAAAAGACACGGCTGCTGAAATCTTAAATAAATGGATTTCAAAATCGTTGAATACAACATTCCACGCAGCTAAGCCCAAGCCGGCCTACCATTCTTGGATGTGTTAAGGAAAAACTTTCGCTTTGGGCTACATGAATGTGTATCTATAAATTTACTTGCTAATGTGGGGTATGATGCTTAGGCTGCACAAAGCGATCACTATCCAAACGCATCTTAAAAAACTATCCAGCTTTGCTTTTAAAAGGTGAATGTAAAACAATTACTAGTTTTGTACAGAAGCATTTAATCAACTGTGGACACAGAGATCCAAAGGATTCTTTTAAAATAATCTATAGAGTCAAAGGAGTTAGATCGAAGGGTTGTTAAATCAATATTTTATGCAATGCTGAGGCATTGGCAATCCACGAACTCAAGCCCGAACTTTGCGTGCAGAAACGATTCATCCAACCTCTCATCCTTCCTTGGCCCTAATTCCCTTAATGGGTATGTTTCTGAGTTGTTTTTTCTTTCTTTTATTTGATTATTATTGAATTTTTGATTTCAGTTTTAAACTCTAATCGGTTATTATTATTACCTTATACAAGTTTTTTATTATTATTGACCTTTATGTTTGTCGTTTTTTCTGCATATCTGTCAACTGGACAATTATCCGACCAGTAAATTATTTTCTTCATTACCTCTTGATCAGTACGTAACCTCATTTTTATTTAGTTTCGAATCTCTTTATGATGCAATCTTTTCTCTTATAGACCTATATTTTTCATATAACCAACACATATACTAATGTACAGCTTAAGTAAATGATCTCGTCGAAAAGAGAATTTTCTTCACTGGATTCTCTTTTTCTTATTTAATGACAGCTTGTAACGTGATTAGAAATTAGAATGGTTAATCATGAGATAAATTTAGAAAACGTTCATATCAATAGCCTTAATATCAGAAATGAAACTATATCTGTATCTTGAATGTTGAAATTTCCGGATTTCACTTGTTCATATTGTCGGGATGAAAATAGGGTCACAAACCAAATATAAATTAAACCATCATCCAATCATATTAAGATGTTAAATATGATTTCACAATAAGTCATTTAATGTGAAATGTGCTTAAATTTAAATATGTGAAGTTATCAGCAGCTACCTGTTCAAATTTTGATACATGTTATGTATAAATTTGAACTGAAAAATTAAACGATAACTTTCTATAAGTTTTACTTGATGAAACCATCTTCAAGTGCACAATTTTCATGTCTTATCATAAATTTGAATACTCTACAAATCTATAAATTCCGTTGCAAACTTATCATTTAAAAATATGAAGTTAACAAACTAACTGTTTATATAAATATATAATATATTTGTAATATCCCAATGAGTAGGAAAATCAGATTTTCTGACGTTTCGTGACTTAGTGTAAACCACTTCTTCAGAGAAGAAGTCAGACCTTGGTAATCATAACTACAACTATTTAGAGTCTTTACACGGGACACTATGAAGTTGGTATGATAGGAAGTTCCATTTATAATTTAGTCAGAGTTTATCTCATTATTATCACTGATTGATTACTTATTAACCTATCTAAGTGATTAATTTGTTTTAAGGTTTCGCATTCTCGAGTATTCTGTGGATGACTTGTGTTATCTATGCAATTACCAGCTTGTTATCGTTCTTGAATGTAAAAATATACAGCTACCCTCACAAACCATACATCTCAGAATTCATTTAAGCGATTCATGCTTGATTATTATGGTGAATATGTTGTTCACTGAGGTACAATAATTTGTATTTTAATTATTATAAACAAGGTTTAGGGGATTTAAGTGTTATCTAATGGAATCTACTGGGCAAAAAAACAAAAGCCTCGAGAGAAAATACTAGAAAAGGAATTTTCGTAAATTCAATAGAAATTATGCAGGCAACAGAAAGGAAATATGTCGTCTACACGTACACT